TTTTTTTGACACAGGGTGATCTCACTCTGTCACCTGGGATAGAGTGCAATGGCATCATCATAGCTCACTGCAGCCTAAAACTCCTGGGCTGAAGCAATGCTCCCACCTCAGCCTCCCAATCAGCTGGGGCTATAGGTGCCCACTACCACACCCAGCTAATTTTTCCTTTCTTTCTTTTTTTTTTCTCATAGAGACAGGGTCTTGCTCTTGCTCAGGCTGGTCACAAACTCCTGGCCTCAAGCAATCCTCCTGCCTCAGCCTCCCAACGTGCTAGGATTATAGGCATAAGCCACCGTGCCTGGCCCTATCATACTTTTCTAAAAGAAATAAAATTCAAATATTTCTTGGGGAAAAAAGAAGACCACTATCTGAGCCAGAATTCAGATAGTCTTTGTGTCTAATACATTATCAGTACCAGAATTTTCTGCAGCATAGTGGTGATCCTGTTTCCCTAACACACAGAGCTCCATATTAGAAATGTAACAAAATCACTTAGCTTAGAGATGTATATTATAAAGGTTGAGAGCACAGTACACATACCAAACAGACCTCATGGTCTAAATTCTGACTCTGCCTGTAAGACCAAGTATATGCTGATTTGAGCAGTCACAACCACGCACAATCCGAGTCTCCTTATAGGAAAATAGGGTAACAACTATACTTCAAAGGTTGTCACAAGAATATTAGAGAGTATGTCAACTGCTTAGCACAGTGCCAGGTAATGCAGCAAGTAGTATTCAACACACAATAACCATTCTTAGGTGCCATGAACATGGAAAAAAAAAAAATATCAAAAAAAAAAAAAAAAAAAAAAAAAGAGCTACTTTATTCAATTTCTTCAGGACTTGGCAAAAAAGCAAAACCAAAAAGAGAGCTACTTGGATTAGTTCCTCTACCCCACTCAGTGTACTAATATCTTTATTTGCAATACAGCACTTAATACGTTTTTTAGATAAAAACACAAATCAGTAAGCAAAGGCTTTTATCTTGGATATAGGTGCCCATTCTTCAATGGCTGTGATTTTCCCTAACTTGGATCCTTCTGAAACCTGGGAGCTTTTAGGAAAATGTAGAGATGCAAGTCACCCCCCCAGGTATTTTGATTCAGTCACTCTGGGCTAGCCCCAGAATATGCATTTTTCAAGTGTTCCCTGGGTGATTCTAATATTCTATCCATTGGGAAACCACTGGCCAGGTCCCCCTAAACTCCAGCTGTCTGTGGTTCCATCTCTGTCCTCCCGGCCCTTTGCCTGTGCCTGCCAATACTCCCACCTCTCCTTACCACCGAGCAAATGCCTGTCCTTTAAAATCCAGCTGTCTCTTCCTCTGTCAAGACTTCAGAACTCCCCAGAGATGGCCAGACCCTCAGTTCCCTGAGCTCCCATAACAGTTTGCTTTTGATTATTATGGAATAATTCAAGCATATTGAAAAACCAAACAATACAACGCGAAAGCTTTTTTCTATAGCCCTCTGTTACAGCTCTCCCCACGAGTAGAATTATTTGTTTGTCTTTTCCATTAGCAAGGAGACTTATTCTATTCTTCCTCCTCTGATGATTCCCAGCCATGGGATCTGGCACATAGCAGGTGCTCACAAAATGTTTGGTCTAAGATTATTTTCAGCTTCAATTCTATGGCTGAAAAATGGTCTAAGTACTTTTCCACAACTCATCAGAACAGAAACTGAGAAAGTTAAGATTGCCAAGGATTCTCTGATAAGTAATTCTCATCTCGAGATGAAGTCCATTTCTTTCTGCTCTCGGCTAAACCTGCACGTTATTGTTCACGCTGGTAAGTGAATGCTGTTTCCATACCAGACCTGATATTTTTAGCACTCCTGTTATGATAAACTCACAGTAACCTCAAAAAGAACAAATCAAAGTCAACTTTTTGCCACAGGAAACCAGCTCACGCTTAATGTTTTGCAACATGCCATGGGAGAATAATAAAAAGATGAGATCTTTTGCTCAAAGATGGTGAGGCCAACTCTTAAGATACTGGAGATTGCAGCAGGAAGCATTTGGTCTGGCCACTAACTTATTAAGTAAACTGGAAAAACATTTAATACCCAAACAAGGCAAGCGCACGCACACAGACAGCTGCTTCCCTGGAAGCTAAATTGTGAATGGTGCACTAAGAAACATCTACCTATAAGTAAGTGGTAGGTCAGGGCCAGAGAGATACTGGAATCAAAAGCCTAGGGGGTGCGAGAAGGGTAGGGAAGGGCCAGAAGCAGGCAGGCAAGAGGATCCCGTGGGGGCGCCAGTGGGAACACAGCTGTCCCTCTAGAGTAGAACAAATGACTAAATAAGCAATAACCAATCACTCATGAAAAAAATATTTATTGAGCACCTACTACGTGTTATATTAAGCAATGGTAAATCCAAGTCAGGTTCTTTGTGAGGTATCCTCCTGGTGTGCACTCTAGCTAAGTACCCTGTCCTCAGTAGGAATTCCTAAGGCATTATCAGGTCACATTAGTCACATTCCTAGAAAAAATCTTAGGAATAAATTCCAAGGACTGTGAAAAACTGAAAACAACTTACATGCCTTTCAACATGAGACTGGTCATAGATGATGGTGCATGCCAAGGTATACTACATTATGAAGCCAAGAAGACAGGAGGAGATCCTTCTATATATGCTCTAAGATCTTTCCAGACTAATTAAGCCATCAAATATTAATATAAAAAAGCAAGCTGCCA